CCCCAAAACCCCAAAACCCCAAAACCCCAAAACCCCAAATTGTAAGTTTATAATTGAAAACTATATCTAACAAGCAGGCTGATTATAAAATACTTCTGTCCTGTAGGTCACTTCTGGTGGGGCTGTGGTAGGCTCTTCAGGATGTAAGCTTGTTACTACTTTTGGGTCATAACAAAACTCCAATATCTTTTTGACCTTTTTATAACTGAAAAGTTTCTGTGGTTTAATATCAAGACCAAGTTTCTTTTCTTCAATATATTTTCCTGCTTCTGAAGTTTGAGAAGCAGGAATTAAATCGGTTTCTTTTATCATATGATGCATTGCATCTAATTCTGAGAGCACATAAGTACAGGTGTTCCTAGCTTCATTAATTTTTGCAACTGCCTCAATCAAGCTATTTCTCAATTCAAAGAACTTATCATTCGCATTATGTACAAAGTAATTGTATTGCTTCTTGTTCAAGTCCATTTTAGCATTCAAGATATCGTATTCAGTAATTCTCTTCTCTTTTAAGAGCTCTTGGACTTGGTACTTGGAAGCTTTCTGAAGCTTCTTGAGCTCATCGAAGCTCGGTCTCCTACTTTGACAGTGAAGGAACTTAAATCGATACTTCTCACAAAGAAGATTATCAATTATAATATCAAAGACTTTGTCGAGAAAGTGTATCCTGGGTTGATTTCAACCAAAAATTATGTGAAGCTTGTTGTCTTCACTAGTGGATCTGGGGTCTATTATCCCTGACTCTATGACTGACTCCTCAGGTGGATCGGGGTACTCTCATAAACCTTTGCCTTCTTTTAAATTTTCGTGATATTTTTGGTCTATAGAAAATTAGTATGTCCAAAGGACGAAGCCAATGGTGTTCTTTCTTATAAAATTTAGGAAAAAGTAAACCTAATGATAAAATGTGAATATGGCTAAATATTAAAAAATTTGTAGTCAGACCCACCTTGATCCCTCAATCTAGAAAGTAAGGATTTGTTCTCCTCACCAAGCTCATTGGCAGAGAGGCGATTCTGGAGCAAAGCAATCTGGTCATGAAGCCTTTTATTCTCAATTTCAAGAGTGGCCACTTTGTCTTCTAGTTCAGATACGTAATTTTTCTTCCTTTTACGAGTTTCCCTGGCTTTGATTCTGTTATTTCTCCTTCTTAGATTCCTTGTTTTCTTTAGGAGTTTTAAAAATGTCAGAATTTAGGAAATCTATTTCTGAAGTAGTTTTAGTGTGAGGTTCGTTCAAGCGTGAGAATGCATCTTCATTTTTAAAATTCGGAAATTGGGATGAAGAGATTGAAACATTGTCAGGCAAAACAGCAGGAGGATTATTAGAAGCATATTCGGTACTTATTTGGAATTTCATGTTCAAATTACTATTGGCTTCTGATCCTTGCCGATAGGCACAAGTTCCATCAATGAAAAGATCGTGCATCTTACTCTCAAACTCCTCAAAGAATGCTTCTTTTTCCATTTTTGTCAATATTTATTGGTAATATTAAATTTTGTGTGACGTTCCGGGGTTTTGGGGTTTTGGGGTTTTGGGGTTTTGGGG